ATATGCTTCTCACGTGGCCTCCCGGGTGGTTGTCGCCCACCTGTGCCTCTTCCTATAAATAAACAGGGTGAGGGAGACAGGACAGAGGTGCAGACAAGCGACTTGGGCACACTTTCATTGCCATCTCTGCCTCCTGGGGAGACCCCGCTCCACTTAAGACCCCAATCTTAGGGCTATCTCTGTTAGGCAGGGCTAACTCGTGGGTAACAGGCCCTCCCCATCCCTACCTCCTTACTGTATCCAGCCATGCTCCCTGCTTTTGTCAAAAGGCTGAAGAAACAGCTGGAAGTGGTGGCCGAGGCTATAACCCTGGCATATTGGGAAGCAGAGACCCACAAGTTCAAGCCCAGCCTGGGCAATTTAATGACTTAGTAAGATGCTGTCTCAAAATTTTAAGTGAAATGGGGATGTAGCTCAGTGTGAAGGTTCTAGGTTTGATACCTCATTGCCCTCCCTCTGAAAATACAACTGAAGAAACCTCTTTGGACAATGTAAGTGATGGTGATCATAATTATACTATTATAATTACACTAATCCAGGGCTGGGGAGATAGCTCAGTAGAATAAGCGCTTGTCTGGCAAGCACAGGGTCCTGAGTTCAATCCCCAGTACTGCAAAAAAAAAAAAATAATAATAATAATTACACTAATCCCAGCTCTCATCATGAACAGTTCCAGTGCTTTACCTAAGTGGGTTTTCTGGGCGGAGGTGGGGAGAATAGGTGTGTTTTTGGTGATGGTGATGGGTTTTTTGGTACCAGGAATTGAACTCAGGACCTCACACTTGCCAGACAGGCACTGTGCTGCTGAGCTATGTCCCTGGCTACCTAAGGAGATTTTTTTGCTTGTTTTAGTACTGAGGTCAGAGCCAGGGGTCTCGTGTGTGTTAGGCAAGAGTTTTAGCACTGAGCTACATCCATAGCCTATACCTAAGTTATTGCATTACTGATTCCTCTTTATTTATTTATTTTTGTGGTGCCAGGGATCAAATCTCGGTCCCTGCTCTTGCCTAAGCAGGCACTTTAGAACGCTGAGCTATATCACTGGCCCTGATTCCTCAAATGATGTTATAAGTGAGGCTTTATTATTCTCCCCTTTTACCAATGAAGAAACTGAGGACCAGGGAGGTAAAGTAGTTTGCTCAAGGTCAGCAGGCTAGAAAGTGGTAAAGAATCTGGGAGTGGTGACTTATGCTTGTAATCTCAGCACTTTGGGGGTTGAGGCAGGAGGATCACAAGTTGAAGGCCAATCTGGGCTACAGACCGAGACCCTGTCTCAAAATTTTTTTCAAAAAAAAAAAATTTTTTTTTCAAAGGATGGAGAGGTAGTTCAGTGGTAGAGCATTTGCTGAGCATGCACAAGGCCCTGGGTTCAATCCCTCGTACTGTAAAAATCAAACAAACATGATTTCACGAGCGATGTAATGGAAGATGTAGATGTGGAAGCTCCGAGTCACACTGATCTCCACATCTTGACTTTATCATTCACCTGTGCCTCAGTTTCCTCATAAGTCAAAGTGAGCTAATAAAAAAATCTCCCTTCTGAGCGCTATGAGTGCAGGTGGGATTGCTCAGTTTAGTAACCTGAGCTGGGAGGGGAGACCCAATGCACTCCTGTTACTGACTGGCCTAGTACAGCCATTTTTAGAAGACCAGGGTACTGCGACATTGTGGAGAACTATGGAGTCATGCACACGGAATGCAGCTGGTCAATCTGTTTTTATCTTAGACTAAAAGATGTCTCATTCATACCGCTACTAAAAGCAAGTTTTAGATAACATATATCAAAGCTGTTGTGCACAAGAATGTTCCAATCCTTGCTTGTTGTCACGCAGGCTGTGATGCACCTGGTCTTGGTCTCGGTCTCCATGAGGCTTGGGCCTGTGCGTTTCTCACCCACTTCCCATGAAGCCCAGGCTGCTGGCCCAGTGTCCGTGATACAGTATTATAAGATATTTCGGGCTGGTGAGATGGCTCAGTGGTCTAAAGCACCTACTTAGAACAAGCTTAGCAAAGCCCAGGGACCGCGGTTCAATCCCCCAGCACCACCTGGTGGGCTGAGCTGGCCACACACACACACACACACACACACACAAATAAATAAAATTTAAAAAAAAATTAAAAAGATATTTCATGTGATCCCATTTCTTTCTTATTTATTTATTTATTTGGTACAGGGTCTTGTTATACAGCTCAGATTTGCGATCCTCCTGTCTCAGGTGCTGGGATTACAGGCATATGCCACCGCACGCAGAGTTCCAGGACCGGCCCAGCATGAGGTACTAGGGATCAAACCCAGGTGCTGGCACTTGCCAGGCAGGCGCTTAGATCACCCAGCTCTCTCCCCAGCCTGTAAGTCCATTTCTGTACAAACAAAACAGAAGAAAACAAATAGATAAGGGGAGAAGCCCACCAATGTAGGCAATGATTTCTAGATGACTGACTGACCTTTCCAACAGTTGTATAAAAGCTGGTTTTAGGGGCCGGGGAGATGGCTTAGTGGAATAAGCGCTTCCCTGGCAAGCACAAGGGCCTGAGTTCAATCCC